ATACAACACAACTTAGTACTTACTTATGCGTATGCTTTAAAATATAATTTCTAACATTCCCGTATCATAAATTACATACAAAAACAATAACATAAAATCCAGGTGGCTTTTAATCTTGTCTTTATTCTCCATCCAGTACTGAGCATGGTGCTGAAATTGATCAAGAACCATGTAACTGCCAGACTACATTGATAAGTACTATTTTTTTTAAGTTCAAAAGAAGTAAGTCTTAATACCTAATTTAACATAAACATATTACATATACTTGGTTTTTATAAATTAGAACACCAAAAATATCAATTCCTAAACCCGGCCAGCGAGTCATCTGTATTAAAAATACCTAGCGTCCAAGAAATAAGAATACACATTACACACCAGTAAAATATGCTTGCACATTGCACTAGTGTAAAAGTGCAGTTCATTGCACATACTAATATGAATATAAAGTAAAACGTATATGTATACATATACCTATGTAGGTACTAGCCACTAGGTATACAGGCATTGAAGAATACAGATGATTGAACGTTGGTATTTAAACAATTATATGAATGCATTTCAAGGTTTAATTTATAGCTTCTTTTATCCTTTTGGATCCAAAGAAATTAAAACTTCAATAAATGGCAACACGCAACTCTTATTATTCAGACTGTGACAACTTATTTTGTGAAACAAAACTATTTGTATACTTCTGACATGTCATAAGGTAAAATTTCTCGCAGCATGTTATATATAGGTATATTATACAAGTTATAAATGTTAAAAAGTGTAAAATCAATTATTTATCAATCCAGTACATTAATAAGGTTTAACATTACATCAAACTAAATAGTTATTGAATGTTGTATTTTAAAAGAAAAAAATCATAATTTAGGTTCTTTTTTTTAAATATTTGGGCTTTATAGTTTTTCTCCATTATCTATTGCATAACTATAAAAATATATAGACATGTATGGACTCGCGAGGATAAAATGAAACATAATACTGAAAAAATTCTTCATACTGGATATACGAAAAAAAATCTTTGACTCTGCATGTTCCAGCATCTACGATCTCACATTTACTAATTCTTAGAAATGTAGACGAATTCAAATAATTTATTTGCTGTATAATGTCTAAAAAGTAGTATTTTCGTGTCCATAGGTGATGCCGGTGGCTAGAGTGGATTGGAACTTGATGGCCATTATACCGGCCCAACCGGAGAGCGATAATAGCAGTGGCGTAGACGTAGCCCGCCGCCAGTGTTCGGTTCACCGAGTAGCGCGTTTTTACCGGAAACTGTGTATGGAGGAGTGTCGCCACTCACCGGAATTCTGGTGTTACAAGACCCACCAGGACCGAACGATATAGATAAACCGTCGGAAGATGCTACAGGAAACGGATGATGTGGCAGCGGTCTTCTCACGGCCTTGACAGTGGATTCGGTGTCACTGATACTGGCACAGGCCGAGGCTAACCAATGCGCGTGAGGGCCGTCTAGCGTTCGGACAGGTCACAGTGCTGAGAGAAGCGCAGCCGTTGCTGTGGGCCTCTACGCGCTGGACAATGCCATCGTCGAGCATTCAGACTTGTATGTCTCGGTTCGCAGACGACAAAGGCGTGCTGCTGGCTATCGAGGATGATGCCTTGCGATCTGTGGACTATGCCGGACTGATAGTGACGCTGCCCAGCTACGCCGAGTGCCGACATCGGTACACAGCTTGTCGCGTGTACGAGAATACCTGCGCGATAACTGCAGACGGACGCCAATTGCGGATGCTCATCGTCGGGATGCCGTTGCACTAGCAATAAGTCGTCTTCGCGGCCGGAAATGTTCTTGCGGAAAATTCTCGAGAGGTATATGTGCTCGTGCACTGTGCAGCAAGTCCTCTATTGACCTACTACAGCTAGACCGGCATGGCGGCATGGCATTTCATAACGGTACAATAATTATTTTGTTCACACTTTATAATATGAATCATACTGCACCCAAATATACTACATAAGCCGACGCACGAGTTCTGTCCAACCAAACTTAATAGCGTATAATGATCAAGTAGTCAAGTCTTGACGACTTACTCCGTTTGAGATGAACTTGGACTCGTGCCAATCAAAAACATAATAGTATAATACACAACCCAACGAGCAACAACCGTAGTATGAGGTAAATTTAATATTGTGTGTACCAATATTCAATAAGATATTGTTTGTTATATTACATAATATGTTTGTGCTACAATTTATTGTTGTTTATTTATGTACTGCAGCCTACAGCAATATAATATGATTATTAATAACATTTAGTTTACTGAATTAAATTAAAAAAATTATTAAAAACAGTGCATAAATCATATGCTGATAATTAAGAGCAATTTTATCATTTTTACCTTTCGTCTGGATCGAGATCCTATGTACAATATATTTTATAATTTTGTATTTATGTATACCTAGTCCTAAAATCAGATCTTCGTGTTTGTCACCCATTTTAATATTATATTTTTAAATGCATAATATATAACATACGTTAAAAACTATATACTCTTAAAAAAAACTGGCTGTCTACGCATGAGGGATCTGCAGTAGAATCGTGCAATCATGTTGCGCACTAAATAACGATCGCGATCGATGTTGTAGGCATAATTGTAAAAAAAAATATGAATATTGTTCGATTTATGTGGCGACGAGCGAAGTGCAATGAAATTTATGAAAAGATCTGTTGGGTTCATAATAATCATAATAATAATAATAAAAATAATAATAATACTAGACATAATATGGTGATTTCAAAGCTATTGTATTAACGATAACAATATGGATAACACGCGCACACGATCTGAAGATTTCGTGATTCGTGACGTTTAAAAAAAAAACGTTTAATAAGACGTGTTTATAGGTATCTGGGTACCAGCTCTGCTATGTTTAAACCATACAGCGTACATCTTTGGCATAGAAAATATACTTATTACATAAAATAATTTTAATATTACTACACCATGTGCCTATCACCTATCTTCTTTTCTAATATTATTGTGCAGTTTGTAGAATTACGCTGATAACTCCTTTTAATTGTACATATACGTATTTTAAGAATTGCCTTGTAAGACGTAAGTACATAAAAACAATAATTAGTGTATACAATAATGAGTGGCCATCACAAAATTGTTTCATTTTATAATTTTACTAAAAACTCTCTAGAAAACGCTATGAATACAGTGTATAATTATCTATGTTTATACATTTATGATTTATCCTGGATTGTATACTTATCTATATAAATAATAATGTATCATATGCTGAGCACAGTGTTTTTATATTATATTTTGGAAACACGAAAAACTATGAACTATAAGTGTGTGTTACACTTGTTTTTTAAATACATTCAATACATTGATTTTTTAACCTAACCTTTATAACTACCTAACATTAAAATTGTTTACAAGACAATGTATTATGCGTTTGAGCGTACAAAAATTGTCAGTGATCGACCTCGTAAAGCGGATTAATATATAATTTTTAAACCAATACTAATAGTGGCTTAAAGTATTTTATTTATTTTTTATTCTTCGAAATTTTCATTTGGTCATTTATATTTTGGTTAATAAGAAACACTGAAAATCATACACAATTAGAGAAAATAGGCTATATTATACTCCGATCAGATTCTATACAGCAGTACAGCACTCTACACAACTCAACCCACTGCAGTCAGGGATTATTATAAGAAATAAGAATATATTAAATTTCGAACTGTTGGTATAATGTATGGTATCTCGCAGTTTTACTACTCTCGGCTATTTCTTTTAATATAATTTAAAATGAGTAATTTTACCAAATTTAAAATTAAAACACAACTAAAACTACAAAATAAAAAAAACATTACATACCTGCAACAGTATCATAATAATACCTAATGAGTAATGGCTAATATAACCTTAAACGTTATTATAACATTTGCTATAGGGCCAGCTAACCACAGAATCCATATTAAACATTTTATAAAATGCTCACAACACGGTAGAGTACCTATATTGCCTATACTTTGCGCCTCATAGCATGGTATGTTCCACAGCTCTTTAACACTATACGATAAGAAAGACAAGTGCATTTTCGGATTTTTACATATTTCTAGAAAGATTATTATTGCATACCTGCAAATGGCTACATAAACCATATGATATCACAACAATTAAATATTTGGTACGGTTAAGTCATGTGGCCATGTGGACAACTCATTCCCGTTTATCATCATACATCATGATAATATTTATTAATTATATACAATATACTTTATTATTTTCACGGTTCATAATATTATTTTAAACAAATTATTCCGATACTCGATATTATAACTATCTTAAACAGGTATAAAATACTCAGTGGTCAGTACCTATCATAATAGTGTGGTATAATTAAGCGTTGAATAGTATAAACAAAAAATATACGTAAGTAAACACGCATTCGATCGTTTTTCACTTACTGACATATCTGACAAACACGAAGGATCATAAACCGATCGTGAGGTATTATTGCAGTATGTATAATATTTTGCTGTCTTCTTTTTTCGTTGTGAAGTATAATATTATACATTATAATCGTTTTTATTATTTGGAACGTTTTTTTCACGCACGCATCGATTCGTATAATATATGTATATAGTGCTTCTATATTATTTTTTATGCTCGAGTTATTGCGGACGGTTTATCGAGAAAAAAAAATTGATTGTTGGTAAACACGACGTGCACTTACTATATGTAACATAACATCACATATTCGTAGAAAAAATATTTAAAAAAACGTAATCCCACAGATAAACCAAACACAATAATAATAATAAAAAATAATAATAATAGGTCCTGCGCAATGCGGTGATGGACCCCAGGAGAATGGTGTTGGTGGTGGTACCCCCCCGTACATGCGGAACCTCGCGGGCGGTCGTGATGCGCGTAAAATATTACACACAAATACACAATATACGATGACGGGTCGAAAGACTCAAACGCGCAAGACGCAAACTGCACACAATATTTGACGGGTTTGACTGCGCGCGAGACGAAAGATTTCCACCGGGGATTGCGCGCCGCACGACGACGTCGACCTTGATCGATCGATGACAATGGACCCGATGCTATTATAATGATATTGTTGCCGACGAAGACGACGATCAGCACATTGTGCGCACAGATTGCGTTATACCGCGCACGTCAAACGCCCGACGCGTGTATATAATACGCCGCATATATTTGTGCGGCGCACTTTGTTGTACTGCCTGTATACCGCGGGAGAGCACCGACAGACGCGATGTTTGCACGCGCTTGGTCCGCGACGATTGCAGTAGCGGTGATGTTGACGACGGCGGTGAATGCGATGGCTGCGATGACGGCGATGACAGCGGTGACGACGGCTGTGGCGGTGATGACCGCGACGACGACAACCGCGGTCTTCGGTGCCGTGACACTGGACAGCGTGGCCGTCCGCCTGGGCCTGCCCGAGGGCCGGGGACTGTCCGGAGTGTGCCTGTACAGAAACGGGCCGGACAAGCGGCGTCACGTCATGTTCAAATCGGTGGCGTCGGCGCGCAAGAAATACGGGGGTGGCGGCGATTACATGGTGGCCGGCGACCTGGCCGCTGACCGGGTGTACGAGGGCACATTCGCCCGGCTCATCGACGGAGACCAGGTGGCACGGTTCGGGTGTGATGGTGGCCGTCGGTTCGAGGTGGCCACGCCATTCGTAGTGCCGGAATCGGATCTAGAAACCATTCTGGCGGTCAAGGAGTCGATGGAACGGCGGTTCGGAGGGCAGCCATCACGCCGGGACCCGCACCGGTCGGTCACGGCAGAACACATGTCCGTGACGCTGCGCGGTTTGCGCCCACCGTTTGCAGAAGCCGGACTTGACGCGGCCGCCGCAATCACAGTAGACGTGTTTCAGCTGTACAAGAAACAGCCACCCGCCGTGAGCGACACTTGGGACACGGCTGCAAAGCAGACAGGGGGAGTCCGGTATTCGGCTTACCCGTATGCCAGGTACGCGCTCCGGTATCCGGTCAGCGACCTCGTGCTGGCCGACTTGCCACCCGACCAAATGTTGGCCGTTAAGTTCCGCCGTTCAGCCGTCACCGCGGCCGTTCCCGTGCAGCCTCATCAGGCCGACCTTCAAGCGAACCGAACCGAAAACGCCATTTTCATATACACCGGAGGCCTCTACCCTCGCGGTACCGCCAACCTGACGGACATGTTGGACGAACGTAGTGTAGGCGGTGGTGGCAAGTATGCCTACGACGCTGACGTGGACGCCGCGGCCACCTCGTACCAAATCGACGCCAAGCAAGCTCACAGCGACTCATATGGTAAGACCCTCAGACCCGGTTGTTCGTGGGTGAAGGGGTTGTGCACGGGAGGGAGGGATCTCCGGATACAAATACAGATTTTGCAGCACGTTAAAATTTAAATTCGTCAGTTACATATTCACTGTTATACTTTGCAGTTTGAATTTCAAATTTAAAAACCGGCTAAGAAATCGGTCTGCTGCATCATATAGTAATTAGTAGGTTCCGACTTCTGAATGTATCTCGTCACTGAAATGCGAATGTGTTCACATTTGAATTCAACGATGAGCCATATATATATGTATAGTCATTACTCGATCATTGCAGGCCATTGCACAACGAATGGGTTATATATTTCTAAAGATATTGTACGCTGGTACTTGGTATACACTGCGGGTAATGTTGAATTAATTTTTGGGGTGTAACAGGTACCCATTATAAAACAATACAAACTAAAAATGGTGTATACCTATAAGCTCGCATACTCATATAATAGTACAAAATATACCTAAATAACTTTAAATTGGTCAAAATATTTAAAAAAATTCATGGAGTACAGAAAATTATAATTTAGTTAATACTTATCGGTATGCTTAAGTTCCTACAATGGAATTTGTTTGAATCCCGGCAATTATTAACGAAAATCGTTTGTGGAGAAATACCCAAATTATATGCTTGAAATATTTAATTTTGTCAAAATGTAAACTCCACACATGGGACATTCGGACGATTTTACTTGGACGTTGCTTGATCAGCTGTGTATGATACAGCAATAGGTTATCATTTATTTATTTTTTATTATTTTATAAAATTAGTAAAGTAAAGTTCGTTATCTAATTATCTTACGCCTGTACAATGGTTGATGAATATTTCAATTAGACAAAATAATATATACATTGCATATTGTGTATATACTAATAGGTAATAATATGTAGTAATGTAGTATGAAAAATCAGATTTTAGCCCATAAGCGATTAACATTATGCCACAAATTATAATGGTATAATACAGGGGTCGGGAACCTGCGGCTCTTTAGAAAATTCATCAATATATCGAGATCCGTAAAATATAAATTATAATTTATACCTGCGTTATTATAGTGATAATATTTCGGACTCTCTTTATAACGATTTTCAGGTCAAAAATCTAATTAAATAATATTATATTTGTATAAACAATAATAATAATAATAATGAATTCATGAAATAAAGGTTTCATATATTTTCTAAATTTAAGACGTCACATTATGTTTTTAATGCCTACCAATTTTTCAATGAAATAATAATACTATCTTTATTCGAATATTCTATAATAATATATTGTCTATACTAACAACTACAACTAAAAAAAATGTTGTTCAAACCTGTGCGGCGCAATGAACATCATGGTTTTGTAATTTTTCGAAAAAATGGCTCTTCCTTACGTAAAGGTTCCCGACCCCTGGTATAATATCATATAGTGACGCAGTGGTTAATTATTATAGTACATATCGCAGACTCACTGCATAACAGTATTAATTTATCATCATTCATCAGTAATAAGCGCTGTTAATGAACTTTAAAAATTATAATAATAATCTAATATATGTGTATCAAGATTCAAGATCAATCTCGATTCTTGAAAAACATGACTAAAACATTTTGTCAATGTGCAGTAGACATCTATACTTCTATAATAATATAGGTATCTACAAGCTATAATAGCAGATAAATAATATACCTGGTTATTGTTTCTAAATTATTCACATTAAACAAGTAGGTATTTACAATTGAGTACCCATTACTAAAAAAATGTATTGTAGTTCGATGAACTCTCAAAGGATTGACGAATCGGAATTCTACAGTTAACACATATCGTATTAAGTTAGGTATAAATTGAAATATATGGAATACGTCCAAACCTATAACGCATATTTAGCTTTTTTCAATTGTATACTTTTTAAGGCTTCAAAGGCTAATAGGTTAAAGCCTACAGCTGTACACAAATACATAATATGATAAAACATAATGCAAAAGATATCAATATATTGCTAACAATTTATGAGTGACTATCACTATATTTAATATTATATAGGTACTGTTTACAATATTGTATGGCATACATACAAATGAATTACCCAATCAACAGATGAAGTATTTTTGGTAGTTTGATATTAATTGAATTATCCTGTAATGATAATAATGTTTCAGGTTAAAATTGTTAGTTGAAGATGTCGATTTCAGATCTAGGGTATTCTTTGAAAATATGTTGCATAGGTAGTGAAAGGGGTTCGATCCATTGGCAGATACAGACTGTAGATTTTTAAGGATGGTTTACTGATAAGAAAAAATTAAGTTCGTAAAGTATGTCCAATCTTTAAGATGTTTTAACGTCGCCTGACGTATTCGAGTGTACAGTGTTAGTACTAATCCTACCCGGGTAGCAGCAAGCAGATAACTTGTTTGACTGAATCTTTAATGCATTTTAAACTTAAGTTTGTTAGTTATAGTGAGATAGAAATATGAAATACCAATTTTGTATCATGTAAACCTAAGTAATATCAATATTTGTATATATTCAAAATTAATCCTTTTTTTCAGATATATTAAAAAACACAGTGAAATGTTTCACAGACGGTATGGTTTACAACGGGTATCCATGTCGGAACTCTGATGTCTGCATACCTCTGGGCTGGTTATGCGATAGTCAAAAAGACTGTCTTGGTAAATCATGATATATATTTAACTAAATACTTATCGTAGCATAATATTATAGCTAACTGTCCAATACCTAAATAAATTAAACAACTAAATACCTACCTTTATTATATGTTTTTATTATTCTTTAACCATTATAGAAGGCGATGATGAATATAATTGTTACAATACAGTAGATACGAATGGCGGAGAAAGTACAAATAGTTTGTACAACAATAATGACAATTGGTATTATAGCCGTGGTACTTGCAAGAAGTTTGAATTTCGGTGTCGTTCTCGAAGAATGTCCGTCTGTTTACCCAATTCTTGGTTATGTGACGGACGAGTAGATTGTGATGACGGGCAAGTAAAAACACTTAATTATCCATGAAATAAAAAATCCTGTGTACATATATTTAAATCTCACATAATTTGTATAAACAAAAATACAATACCGAATAACAGATGGGATGAAAATGAATTCAATTGTGGCCGAACATATGGTGGATTAAGACCAGGAATTGGTGACTTCAACGCTCGAGAAGACCATACGTGTATAAACAAAAATAATTTTAAATGTTGGCAAGGGACAGGATGTGTAGGTCTCCGTGCAGTCTGTGATGGCATCAAAGACTGTTCCGATGGATCCGATGAACGTGTATGCGACAACTGGAATTCACAGTGTAATCAATTTACAGAATTTAGAGTAAAAACAGAAATATATTATACATATATATATATAAATATTGCACTTGTGCACATATCAAATAATATTGTAAATTTTTTTTTTTCAGTGCTTGAATAATTTTAATACATATAATGCTCGTAGTTGCATACCACGGCAATGGGTATGCGATCTACAAGACGATTGTCCACACGGAGAAGATGAAACAGTCACCAGCTGCTTAGGAATGGACCACCCAACATTTAACGGTTTGGAAACTGATATCGATGATTTTTAAACAGAACCTACCTATTTCAACAAGACTCAATAAACCTATAATCATCAAAAACTGTTCTTATATTATAATACTGTGTTAAATTTAACGTTGTATTATCATCTGGTATCGCGCTTTAGAGAAACATGGTGTCCGCGACAATTAAATAAATGTTGTCTTCACGTACCATTGTCGTACCAATGGCACGAATTCAATATACGATGTGTAGATACAATGGTACATTCTATGTTTCCTATAAATAACAAATCTATAGATAGGTACTAGGAAGGATTGAGAGGATAGATCCCCCTTGGTGTTTTTTTTTTAAATATTAACAATTATTTTATAGTATTTTTCTGTGGTTTTACCATTTTTGTAAATATAGTAAGAAAAAATTAATAAATTGATAGGTAATAAACAAAAATGTAACCAAAGTAGGTCCCCTATCGGCCCTATCTCACGACTGTCTAATATAAACAAGAAAATCTATTAATTATGCATGTACTGGAAGAATTAAAACTTTTATATTCTCTCATATTATGTATTTTGAATTTTAATACCTACAGCGAACTTTCCGAAATACACATTTCAGTTCTTGGTTTTCCAGCTGAAATTTTGAGTGGTACTTCTTAGACTTCTTAGAGTGAACTCAATGTACGCAAATTCCTAATAATATAATATGTCATATATTATTAATATCTGTTGTAAATTTAATTTTTTTTTTGTTCTATTATCCTTTATTTTTTAAATGTTTCTATATATTAAATGTAATTAAAATATTAAGAGGTAGGAATTAAAATCATGATTAACAAAGTGTTTAACCAAGATATAGGTACATTAAAAAAGGCTATTTTCTAATATCTTTTATAGTTAATAAAGGTCTTAAAAGCAAGACTGTCTATATCCGGCTCTAATAAAGAACACTGGTGCAGTTTGTTACCTTCCATGTTCTAAACAATGTATTTAAGTTTTTATTTTTTATTTTAAAAATATACTGGTCCAGATATATGCAAAAATAGGAGTGGATATAGTGGTTAAGCCCCCCATAAACATTTTCTAAATTTTGTTTTAAGATTATTCAATATTGTTAAAGAAAGGCTTTAGCCCTCTCAAACTCATACCCTATTTACACCTATGAGTCCAAACTCCAGGTGAACTAAGTAACATAATGTTAAGGTATACCTAGTATATTTAAGCTCTATATTTTAAACAGATTTATACATATATTTTAATGTCTTGCCTTTCAAACAATTTCAAAAGAAATTGCTATTAGCTATATTAGAAAAAGTAATGTTAATGTGTATATGTAAGCGAATCACCGCCTAGTTTTTTTATCCTTGGTACATAGGTGATTATCCTGTAGCCAAGGATGTGGGCCTCAAAGAAAATTATGAAATTCTGCATTTTAAACAGGTGCTTACACACATTTCTTGGCACATAAAAAAAAATAGTTATGATTCAATATTATTTTATACATGTATTTTATACTTGGTTAAAATAACCTAAATTATAGGGTTAAAAATCTGTGAACTTTTTAAAGAGTTTAAGAAGGCGTCAATCCACGGGTATTTAATTTGACACAGGCAACATTATGCTGGATCAGCAAGCTGTAAATAAAAGAATTTTTGAAATCATAAATATTACCTAACTATCAAACCAACCTAAAATAATCAACTTTTTTAATTGCTTAGCTTTTCAATAATGTCGATCAATGTCATTTATCGTAGGCTCAACTAAAAATGTATTTGAATCAGCAGGATTAGAGCATTGTTCTGTGATTTGAGTGTTCAGTGATATGAAAAAGTAAACTACAGTTAATTACTCATTTACAAAAAAATAAACATAGATATATTTGATTTCAACAATTCAATTAGTTAACAGATTTTACTTATATTTAAAATACAAAAATAACCATTATAAACATAATACATTGAAATGTGATTTATCTTTGGTTCTGCAACAGAACAAAGAGGAACTATAAAAAATCAGTTTATTGAAAACTTTGAAAATTGGAAAACATATTCAATCTTCTTTAGAGTCATATCGCTTAATATGTAATATAGACATTGTTTCAAATAAACAATAGCATCCACAATTGACTGCGCATAAAGATTCTTTACTAAACCATTGAATCATATGATTAGCATGACCCCCATGTCCACATTTTAGACAAACATGAGCTGCACCTCTAACAGTAGAATTGCATAATGTACACTTTAAACTAAACTGTTGACACTCGAGACAGTATCCATCCTTAACTGAGTCATTACATTTTAAACATTCAACAATGAATTTGAAAAAAAATACGCTACTCTTTTGAGTTTGTTGTTTCAAAAATTTTTTAACACTGGTTTGCTGATCTAGTAAGCCTAAATTATCTAATACGTCCATGTATATTTTTTTGTAAACATCATAGAACACATTTTTCTCGGAATCAGAATCCTCTAACAGTAATCCTTGATCGGAAATTTCAAAACATTCTGTTGATTCTTCCTGTCCTCTAGAAAAGGTAAAACCTTCTGACAAACTATTTGAACGCGTATACACGGGTGTAGGTGTTCTATCCTGTTCAATATTTTTTAAAGGCGGATTTGGGTTAAACACACAACATAATAAAGCAGCGGTTTGATAATCAGAATGACCGGCATAATGTGATATCAATGAATCAATCATATGAATGGTGAAAGGATGATTTCTCCAATTATTAATTTGGTCAATGGAAGATGTAACTTTTTTTTTTACATTACATTTTGTGTTGCAGGCGTATGCGGCCAGGGTCCATGTTTGAACTAAATCTTTTCTTTTAAAGCCATTTGTAATCCAAGCATTTTTCAAACAAGTACTGAAAACATTAGATACATCCAGTTCATATTTTGATGCTAAATCTTTATTTATTGGAAATAAACTTGACACATCATAAATCGAAACTATTGGTTTATCTAGCTTGTCTTTTCTATAATTTTTTAAGCTTTGATTACTGCCGTCGGTTGGAGAATTTTTATTACTAAACCAGTAAGGTTGAAGCTTTTGTAGTGGAGTATTGTTTGCACTATCAATTTTTTGTAGAGAAATAGAGGGGAAAATATCAGATTTTCTTTTTAGAGGACTATTAAACCACAGTAATGCACCATTGTTACAAAATTTTAAGCCCATTGTTTTATGTTGTAGAATATTATACGTATCTTGGTTAGATATGTAAGTACTTGTACGTTCATAATGTGATGGTGATTGTGAGTACATTGAGTATGTTTTCTTATCATCTTCAGAAAATTGAGACTCTGAAAATGATATCCGGGACTTTCTTAAAGACACAACAAGTTCACGAAGACAAAACTGCACACATGTTAAGCTTTTAGAGACTTGTTTTATAGCTGAATCATATAATACTTTATGAATTTTATTTTTCATGCTTGCATCATAAGTACTTTTGGTAATTTGAAACTGAGGTTCGACGTTTACAGGGTAACCTAATGGAAACGTCATATGTATAGTTATTGAATTATTATTGACTTTTACCAAAGCTATTAATATACGACGATCCGGATCTTTTTGTTCAATGAAGATTTCTGAACCAACATTCAAAGAAAGAAACTCTTGGTGTAAATTTACAATAGGTTCCTCTTTATTTTCGGTATTATAAGAATCATCACTAGCAGACATACAAAAACTTTCACCTTGACCTTCATTTTCAAAATTTACATTATCAATCTCATTAAGTGCATCATTGGACACATTACTTGTGTCAGAGGTAGGCGCATTTTGATCAATATCCAAATTATCCTCACTTGATTTTTCAATAAAGTCCAGAGGCATTTCCTGAAGAAATGATACAACGTGCCATAATCTCATGGTCTGATCTTTAGACCACGTTATAAATTCATATTCAGATGTCTTATCCTCATTATTTTTCATCCATTGAAACTCTAATATTGTATCTGAATGACCAACAAATGTATGAACAGGTGAATTAATGGAACTCAAATTCCACAGTATTAGGTTATTGTCTACTCTTTTCTCTGGAGGAACCAAAACAATTAATATACCATCTCCAAAAGGTGTATACTTAGCACTCCAAACAGGCGTGACAGTATTTAAAACATTTTCCGTCTTCTTGAGATTATTTATTTCAAAAAACTTTACAGTACAATCTTGACTACAAGTGACTAATTGATTTTCATTTGTATAACTCCAATCCAAACAATGTATATTACTGAGATGGGCTGTAATATAATGAATTGGATTTGCAGCTTTTCTCTGATCCCATATTTTGACTTCCCCGCCATGAGCAGTAGCTATCAAGTGTCTAGTTAAATGATTCCACCTCACTCTTGAAGCAGGAATAATAGATGAAAGAGATAAAGATGGTCTAGTATTGTCTCTTATGTCCCAAATATTTACAAATGAATCCATAGAAGACGAAGCCAGAATATTTGGATCAGAGGCATGCCAATTGATGTCTAATATAGCTCGTGTATGGGCATTTAATCTTGTTGAAGAAGCTAGATTAACATTGTTTTTCAAACTAAGTAATTGCAATTGGGTGCTTTGTGCCAATGCACAAATATGTTGGTTGTGATATGTCGGGTTCCACTCAAGAGCTTTAATTTCATATTTACAAGTTCTAGGATATAAAATATTTGATGATTTATAAATTTCAACAATACCATATTTTTTTCGGCCAGCTAACAATACTATGGATCCAGTATAGTCTATAGCCATTCTATGAGCATCAAAATCTCTGATTTCAATAGCATTATAGTCACTACTCCACCGAGTAGCCATTTTGGTGTAATCTAGAAATAAATAAAATTAAAATTTAGTACATGTTAAGAAATGTTATTTTCTTAAATTGCTTATTTATTTTATTTTTCTCACTATAAACTCAAAACTTTTGATTTCAAAATCACAAATAACATAAACAATGCTAAAAACCTTTGCTATATAATTTGCATTTTAACCCAATGAAAATATTTTCTTAAAATTGACATTATCTGAAAAACATATTTTAAAACATATTATTATTTTATTATTCAACATAGGTGTTTTTTAGTATACATTTTTATTTAGCGGAAACAACATTAACATTCCCAAAAAATTTTTTAAATTGAAATGTTTAGTATCTAATCAGTAGGTAACCATTAACCAAATGAGAAGTACCATTGATTTACACAAGAAAATTATACATTAGTATATTAGAAAACCAATAGTAAATGGCAATTACCAATATTTTATACAATTTATTACACTGCCCACAAATATTAATATCAAAATAAATCTGTAGGTAAAATAACTTATCTTAAGATACTTTACTACTTATGTAAATCAAGGGTAAAGTTAAGGTTAATAATTTTTTTAACTACTTATAGCATATTATGTCATGTAAATTATGAAATTTTAAAATAAGATTAGAAAGTAACACATTTACTCATCTAAAATCAATATAAAGAAATAGCGAAAATTTTAAATATTAACATTAAATTAATACAATTGTTTAACATTTAATACTTCAACAATAAATTCAAGCCTTCTCGTTTAATTAGCTATAATAAATAGTAACAATGCATGTATAACGGAGACGTGCCTAAGATGGGCTCCCACCACATTATTATCTAGAGGAATAAATACATTTGAAATATATGTTAGTAAAAAATGTTGAATCCATTTTGAGAAGATGGATACTTCAGTGACATTCCTATTTATTGCCTTATTAGTGGTGTATCATGTAATATAATTAAACTATATATTTCTTTAACTATGGGGGTAAAATCCATTTTTAACTATAGAAAAAATTAAAAAAATTACTGATAGTGTAATGTTGCATTAAAATACGAATGTCTCCATATAATAGATATGGATTTTACTCTAAATGGTAGATTGGTAGACTTACATAAAAGTAGGTAGTTTTTTAGTTTAAAAACACTGGTCAAAAGATTGATACACATGTTTTTAAAATCAAAAAAACTTTTTTTGAAATAACCAATTAGTTATAGTAAAATGTTGTCACACAGAAAGACAGGTCAGAGGTCAGTAAATTATAAAAACCGATAACTTCACAAAGAATAATGTATGAAATAGTATAATGATTATTGATTGTTGTAAGATATTTGATTCATAGTTTCATCAAAATGTTAACCAATAATAAAGCCATTATGAACAAACTTAACAAATACAATCAAATTATTTCTTAGTAATAAACTAACAACAGATTAATTAAATAAGTAATTTTAATGAGTATAAGCAGGAACATTTTAATTAGTAGGGGTAAAAATATAAAACACTTTTTGTACCTTCATATCCAAAGATAATTATTAATTGAACAGATGCCTCTTCATGACTATGAACGAAGTAAAAAAATAATGATACATTTCATCAATTAAAATTTCAGAACAATAAATTTTGAATGTTAAAATGCACTGTGCTTGAGCACTGATGCTGTCAGTCCTACTTATGTACCTAAGTGTCCTAAGTATTTAATACTACTACTCAGTACTCTAGTACTAGCTTCTATTATCTATGTTTCTACCCAGTAAGTTGTTCCTATAAATAATGTGCTACTACCTGTAAATAATTGCTATCACAGTGTACTCAATAATATATAATATGTGATAATGTTGGACATTGATAAGTGATAATAATAATTTATTTATTAGTTTAACCCGTGGACCTTATACAACAACATTTACTATATAGACAAGCAATGACTGTATGGAAAGCATAACAACATAGATTGCGCTTCTTAATTACTCGATTACTCGTACGCATGGCAGTGCGGGGTAGTAGGGTAAGATATATGGATAATTGTATTTATTCGTAAAGATAGCTTACTGCTTACTTCACTGCATAATTGTGTTACGCAGTCCGCATGCTATCGTTATACAGTTATTTTCTAGCAATATAAGGTTTTATAATATGTAATATACATACCATAGTAACATCTTAGAAATTAAAGAATGATAGGCAATGGCTATATTAACGATGACAACATAGGGTTAATCATGACAAAATATTTTGTCATGGGGTTAACGATATAGAGCATAATTAAAGATATAATTAAAAATTATCTTTAGTCGAGGTATAGAATCTGATCCAATAATCAATAATAGACCGTCGTTTTACCTCATTACAAACAGTATCTATATCGATGATGTAAGCCTAGAAGTAGGGAAATATAGCTAAATACACAATATGTAAATATTTTTCATCAAAATCATTTATTTGATGAAATAAATTAAAATATTATATAATATTCAATTGGAAAAAAATATAAAAACATTATTCATTTATTCACCCTATAGGTACCACCAATTATACCCAAAATCATTACACGGGACAAATTTTATCTGACACCCATAAATTTAGTATTACGTATTTGAATTTGTGATTTCATTACAATTGTGATATAAATTATATCTCTGTGCCTATAGGCTGAAAAAATAAGTAATGTACCTACATTTTTTTGTTCAACAGAATGATTGTATAATTTAAAAAAAATTATGATTGATTTTTCATATAACAAAATAACAGTATACAATTTGAAATGTTGCAGTTGATAAATAACATCACAAATCACCTCAATTGTCATATTTCATTCTAAGTACTAAGAACAACATTTTAAATTGTATTTCCTTAATGATTATGAAAAAATATTAATTGACAATTATATTAAATAAGTATTATAATACTTATAATCCTTGTCTTATAAAAACTTCAGTCAAAATGGGAAATTTGAAATATGTATACAGTTAGAGAAAGATAAATGTAACTGATTATTAGTGTACACTAGTGAGAAGTAAAATTGTACTTTAATCTAGGGGGATATTTAAAAACCATTTTTAAACTAAAATTGAGCCACATTGCCACAATTATAAAATTTGAATTTAATAAAATATTGAATGAACATTTGCACATTTCTTATTCTCTAACTTATTAAATATAAAATCAGATAAGTTGATGTCTAAATATTCTAGTTTAGTACAAGTAGAGAATAGACTAATGATAATGTAGAATATTTATTGTTTTATAATTTCATTCAGATAATGGTTTTTAATTTTAAAATCTTACAACTATTATACTATAGAAAAATTATTTACAAATATTTAATTCAACATTAATTGACTTGACTTAGTCTCATGATAAAATAAATTGTATTTGTCAAATTCAGTTAACTGTAGCCATGTTTAGAAACAACTTGTAACACAATTCTCAACACAAATAAAAAGATAGAAAAAAGTATATTTTAAGTTATATAACTAAAATATAATATGGTTGAAAAAACATAATATATTTTCATGAAACAAAATCAAAACTAATAATAATACTTATTTATATAAGTAAAACAGAAAATGATTATGTATAAATTGTTGAATTAGTTATAAAAAATAATAAAGTTACTCTTGAACAGTTTTTATTGGAAAATAACCACAAGATTTAAAATAACTCTTAATATAATATGCTAAAAATTATAGCGTATTTCAAATATAAAATAATTTAAAATGAAAAAATTATACTAAGATCTTACTTATTGTTTTTTAAAGCAACCAATGGAAAACAACATCGGATGTGTGTGATATATAACTAAATGTATTTGATCTTAAGTTCTTATATTTTGATGAAATAATAGTTTTCTAAATAACAAAAATCACAAAATAGAAATAATAAAAATAATAAATGAAACTATTCAAATTTAAGGTTTAATATTAATATTGAGAATTAAAAAAAATTAATAGTAACTATTTACAATCTTAAATATAGCTCTTTTAACATACTGGTTTTTCATTAATTATCATAACTATAAATCAAATATACTCGTCATTTTCAAGTAAATTAAGCTGGGCTATCTTTTAATATTGAGCCAATTTTCTTATGAGCATATTCCAAGCATTTTCCTAATTCAGGACTACAGCCATGTTCAGCAATTGTGTTAAAACGGTATGTACGGAATACATTATTTTCAATGAAGGTTACAGCGTTCATTAATGGACACAATATCACTTTAGTATGGTCTGTGAAATTGATCTAAAGAAACATAAATAGAATAAAATGTATAGAATTATATAATATATTTGTAGTTTTGTACAAAATGTTCAATATTTAACATACCTGTAAAGTGCCGTTAGTGAGTTGCATAATAACTGATGAAGTAGATCTATACCACTGGTACATATATGGTGTGCGACTCAATTGGTCTGCGTCTTTAGCTAATATATCAGCGCCAGCTTTAATAAGATGATCATTCATATAACGTCTGAAGTACATTAATAACTTCATTTTTTTTTCCAATGCCGGTGGAGTATGATCAGTTGTATGGTATTGCTCGGAGCCACTTCTTTCTATGTAATGGACATCTCTAAAAAATTTGTCAGAAATTATTTCAATTATAAATTTAAATATTATTATTAAACCTTACTTCAGATTGGCTAAAAGTATTATTCTGGTGAAATCATTGAACATAACACCAACACAGTCATCAGACAACTCGTATCCAAATCCATATTTATCAGAATAGTCCACCCATTTACTAACCCAAATAAGAGGCTGAGCAGCAGGATCAGTATTTTCCTCTAGAATTTAAGAAGTATATTTAGTACAATGCAAACAATACAGTATAATAATTGTCAAATTCATACCCATATTTTTCATTCCTTTCATTGATGGTTTAGATTTTAATAAATTTCCCAATTCTTTTTCAAGGGACATCATATATTCTTTACAATCATTAGATGATACTCCATTTCCAGTAGTCGGTTTGTTTGGAATATTAAACATTGGTAATTTATTAACCGGATCTTGAGGTTTGGTAACAACTTTGATGATAGCAGATTTCGGGCTATTGAGTTCTATATTAAATTGTTTACATAAAATAATGATAGAAAACTTTATAATATTAAGTTTTACCAATTAAATAATTACCATTGAGTGGTCTGCGATTAGAAATTGATTCTCTGTAATTGATTGAATCGAAACGAGGAGCCATTGTAAGACATGATGCAGGCAATCTTTTAGGCATATAACCAGTAGTAAAGAAATCAGCTTTCATTATATCAGAAACACAAGGACGTTTTTTAGGATCATATTGAAGCATTTTATTGATCAAAGAACTGGCATTCTTATTTAAATGGGGTGGTAAACTATAATCACACCGTGCAATTCTAGCATATGTTTCTTTCAGAGAGTTTGTCTCAAATGGTGGTTTGCCAACTAATAGTGTATACCTTGAATATAATAAAATATTAATAAGTTGTACCCTTTTAATAATTTTTTTTAGAATACTTACATTATACAACCTATGGACCAAACATCAACTTCAAAACTGTGACCAGTCTTGCTAAGAATCTCTGGAGCGATATAGTTTGGAGTACCACATAAAGTTCTACACATAAGTAAGGGTTTTATTTAATTTGACCAACTCAACACAATATAAAAAATTACTTTTTGCGCTGTCCATCATATTCAATTCTAGCAGCTAAGCCCAAATCTCCTATTTTCACTTCCATTTCATCATTTAAAAATAGATTTCCTAATTTTAGATCTCGGTGAATAATGCCCTGATTATGTAAATATAATGTGCCTTCAAGAATTTGAAATACATAGTAACGGGTTTCAGGTTCTGTGAGAGTTTTCCTTCTCCTAAAGCAAAAAAAATATTAATAGTATACAATACTAATAAATTCAATAAATATAGGTAATCCACCTTATAATATATACCTAATTTGGTCATTATTTTTTTACTAATTGAAATGAAAATTATTTTTCAAGTACTTAACAAATATTATAGCTTTAGATGGTTAAGGTAAGAAAAAATGTTGAATTTATAACCATCCAAAATAAATATAAATAATATAATACTTTTTTTATTGAAATTTAGCATCAGTGACAATTAGTCATAATATTACTGTTATTATTTCATTTTGTTTATTTGAATACTAATATTAAAATTTGCATTATTAGAAATACGTTAATTTAGTCTTAACTTATAAAAAATGCATTTCATTAGTTTTTATTAAGTTAAATGAATATTTTAGTTTAAAATTTAAAAAAATATAACATAAATGTCAATAAAAATTATTGAAAAAAAAGTGTTCAAATTACAATGCTACATTATGGATGATAAATTATTATTAAAGGTAAAATATACTAAGGGTTCTATATTTTAATATAATTATTTATAAAGTTCCAATTCAAAACGACTTTGTCAACAAAATTCTAGTAAAAATCAATATTGTGTTAAACTCAGAAACCTGATACTGAATGACACACTAGGCTTTACAGATTGCATGACAATAACTCCTTAGCATATTTGACCTAAATCAGAAAATTACATGTATAAATTAACTTTACTTAATAATCCTCATCATATGTTTTAATAGATGTTGAAATAAAATTGAATAGTTCTTTTTTATTTTATACAAGGATATAATAATTAACAATATGACATTTAAATTTAATACATAAAAATTATTATTTGATTGTGAACACCATTTTGTGTTCAATGAAAATATGAGCCATATTTTATCACAATAACTTTTACTTTAAAGTAAAATTCTAGTTTTAAAATAAACCAAAATAAAATTGTTTGTTTATACATTTATAATTACCTATTCAATAAAAAATGTATTATCACTATAGTCTTATATTGTTGCATAAATAATTAATGTCTCATTATTTTTTAATAAAATTGTCTTCAATATTTTATTTTAAAGCAAGATAGTATGATTATGTAAAATATCACTATTTGAAAATTCTCATTTAGCTTTGAAATTAAAATATTAAATAATATTCCTATCTTCAAGTTTGATAAAAGATCAATTCACTATAATATTAAAATGAACAAAATAAAATTGTAACTGCTGAATGCATATAATATGTTTAAGCAACGACATATTCTGGTTGACAGAAAAAATGGATTAGATAAAATAATCCCTAAAAATATATCATATTACTTATTATTAAATAAAAGTAATTTTGATACAACAAGAATAACTTTAAAAACATATTTAAATGTTATTCATTATTTTATTGTTATGTCCCAATAAATGTACTATAAGAGAATATATAGTATATTATTATCATTATCATCTGAGTCCAGATTAGGTAGTATATATTTTCACATTTTTTTTTTTTTTGAGTGTATTTATGGGAGTACTTACAAAATTGTAATAATTTGTTAAGCAGAGATCCATAGAAAAGTTTATAGTGGGTGTGATGTTAACTTTAGGGTTAATTGCATATTTGTATATTTAAGCATGTTTTGAAGACATTTTTTTTCACGCTATGCCTTGTTTTTCTTTTTGTATTAAGAATAAAAATTGCTAGTACCTTTATAAAAAGTCAATTTATAAACATATAATATTTATTGAGGGAATTTTAAAAAAAGCTTGTTCCAGCCAACTAATATTTTATTTTTTATTTTAATTTTACTTATCAAAATCAGTTTTTTTTAAGACATAATCTGCTATATAATATGAGCTTAGTTTCGGTTGAAAATCCTATCATAGCATATATTTAAAAAACATAAGAGTTCATTAGGTACACATTTCAATGTTTTTTTCTGGATGCATAAATGGATAACAATATGATTTATTATAAATGCATTTTAATTAATAAATAAAAGGCAGTAAGTAGGTAATCCAGCCTAATAAAATATTATTTGTACGATATTAGTGTAATTGTAATTTAGTCATATGAAAAAATATAAATATTCATTGGCATTTCTTACTAAAAACTAAAATATTCAAAATGGTGAAGTATTTATTAATTGAAAATTTGGCATATTATCAAAATACTTACTTATGCAGCTCCATCATAGACCTTTTACGGCAAAGTTCCAAAACAATATAAACAAAGTCATTATCCTCAAAGAAACTATGAAAAGTAACTATGTTTGTATGTTTCAACATCTTGTGAATATGTATTTCTTGTGTCATTTTATCTTTTTGATTGTGTTTCAATAGATATTTTTTAGAAACAATTTTCCCAGCAAAGATTTCTTTGGTTTTCATATCAACAATTTCGTAACATTTTGCAAAACCTCCCTGTAATAATATTTGTATACAGTTTATAATGAAAATATTTAATATATTTAACGTGTACAGATGCAGTGGTCTAGCAACTGCCCTTGAAAAATGGGCCAACTATATAAATGTAGAAATGAACAACTGTTATTAGAAATGTGTAGCCACATAACATTTCAACAAATAAAATATAAGCAAAAAAAACATTTTTTTTTTATTCAACAACCCATAATTTACAAAATGTTTTGAAGTACCTACCTATGTTGTGCAAAGTGATACCTATTATTAGGTAGATCATTAAAGGCACAAACTTGAAATTACTTTGGACCAATGAATTAGTAAATTATAGCCATACAAGTATTAGGTACCTAAATATATCTATAGTATAGAATCAGCAAAATATACCGAAGATTAATATTATATATTACAAAAATAATAATATTTATTACACATAAATATTGTAAATTATTACTAAATGGTCCTCTTCATATGAAAAAATATTCGTACTTAAAACTCTATGAATACATCTAGTTGAACAGTTAATAAGTACTAAAAAAATAAAAATATTTTATGTACAAAGGGATGGCCAATGTTCTATTAGGTGAACATTTGAATAAAACTGTCAAAATAAAAAATATCTGGAAATACTTGAATCATTCGTTGACTAGTATTTAAAATTAATGGAGAAATTCATATAACAAGTACCTATATCAGGTTATAAATTGTTTTCTTTCAGAAGGACTTGGTGACTACCAAATTTGAAACGCGAAATTTGAAACAAAGGACAAAGGACGACTATCTAAAAAGATCAACAGGTACGCGCGAGCGCATATAGAAATAAGCATATATATATACCTACATCTGCATTGAAACAGTTGTTATTAAATTCAAAATAGATAAATGAATCGATTGCTATCAATTAGTACCTAACAAGTAACAAGTGTTATAACGACTTAGGTTGGACCTTAGACGCCGATGATTTCCTTCCGAAAGATTTTCGAGGCTACCGTTATTACGGCTGACTCACCACTCACCAGATGAAAATAAAAACGAATAGAACACTTTAATACATTTTTAACGGTTCAACTACAAAAAATTTTAAAAAAACATCGTGCGCTATCAGACGCCACACAATTGAGAATCCACGTTACCTTTCCGAGAAAACTGCCCTTTTGATACTTCTTGTTGGTCTTGTTGTCGAGAATCACATCCGGGATTCTGACCTCTTCTTCTTTTGGTCTGGACGACATGTTTCCTATAAACGATCAAATACCACCTCGAAGTCGTTGCTCGTCCGGAGTGACCCTTCAAGATCACCGTCCACACTATTGTACCGACTACTGGGTTAAGCGACGGGAGACGTTAACACGTAGATTCGGAAATGCAACACGTAAATAAAATAATATCGAGGAAGCCGTTGCGACGATTGGAGAGTTGACGGTGTTGATAATAATAATAGTTTTGACTTTTGTTTGATTAGGCGGCGGAAACCAGTAAAAACGGCAGCCCCGGGGGTGGTGGCGGATAGGTTATGTGCGTGTGTTGGCGCGCACGTCGAACGACAAAAATCGGCGTGAATACTGTCTGGCGATCGTCTGCGGCTGCAAACGGTCGTACTCGCGTGGACGGGTTTATCGGACGACGACGAACAACGGGTACCGGTCGCGGAACGAGACGTTATGAAAATAACCGTTAAATTGAAATGTACGTTTGCAAACACGCAGCACACCACCCACTGCACCGTCTGTTCCCACCGAGCGCTGTGCGACAACGATCACTGCGCGAGCGCGACGTCCATACGCGAACACCGTCGTCGTGCGGTGGCGGGCGGCGGGGTGTAGACGAACGGTTAGCCGTTGGTCATGGAAGAATAAATAGCGCGGCCACAGTACAGAACAAAATGTTATGAAAGAATTTGCTTAACAAGGAGTTAATTACGTTACTCCACACTCCATAGGACGCTAACGTATTACTATTATTTATTATCATTTATCAGTGATCAATGGACTGTAAGCTAAGACCGTGGACTATGGTCTGATACTTGTAAACATAATTTTGTAGTATGTACTAACTACTAATGTAGTTGACTGATGAGTAATGACTAATGACCATTGTAATTGTAGTAGTTTAAGGTTCCCAGATTTATTTTTTAAAAATACGGGATATTTTAAATTATGCCGATCACGATTAAAGATGATGCCGATACTTGTAATTTACATGGACCATAGTCAATGGATGTTAATTAAGGAGAGGAGCGCGCCGAGTTCAAAATTCAAAACTTGTAATCCGATCATAAAAAAGTGTATTTTTAATTTTTAAATAGGATTGAAATATTGGATATTAGGACCAATGATTGGCTATGAACCATAAATATATTAAAAAACGAAATATTTGATATCTCTTATACAAATTCTTATAAGTTATTCTTATGGTAACCAATTGGTAACATTGCTTCGATGTAACATTTATTTTTCCTCGCTTTAAAAGATTAAAATAGATATATATTATACAATCTGCAATAAATACTTGGAAAATTATAATCAAAACAAATAATGAGTATTTAGGTATTATCGATGATATTATTTTGTCAATCGTTATTTAAATTTTAAAATGCTAAATGATAGAAAACATTACATTCTTTAAACAATTTTAAAACGAGGTATTTTGAATATAGGACAAATATTGTCCAAAATACGGGGCACAAGGTTATTTTGGACCTCTTGTCGGAACACCAGAACGCTTCATGTAAATATGAGACAATCCCGTACAATATATTTTCTCAAATACAGTGGAACCTCGACAGGGGCGGACTGGGGCAACATTTTGGCCCGGGAAATCTACATTTTGACCCGGCCCTTGCCATTTCTCGTCATCACAAAAATGTAAAAACTTAAATATACCAACGTTTTATTCAATGAGGAATGCAGCCTCTACACATTTTCAATTTTCCCAGAAAACAACTTAAGATTTTTTTTTTCATTAATTGTTTATGGCATCAACTAAGAGGTTATTAGCCAGGGGTTTTTGGGACTGTTGGGTTCGAAACTCGTGTGAAACTTAAGATTTGTTAAACTAAACTTACCAAATAGTTTCAATATGTAATTTTAATTTTGTTTAATATTAATGAAGTACTTCACAAATAAATAATATATTGGTAAAAGTCATTCAATCGTAACATAATACTATTTAATACCTTATGTAAAAATATAAAATATTATGACACTTATATTGTAGTATATTAACTTTTATTAGTTATAACTAGAGTTAGGATGTTGATGACTTTTGCATTTTTTTTCCTTTTATTCTGTACAATGCTATCCTAGCTAAAAATTTGTTTCATGCTCCCTTGATGCAGAATATTCTAATTTTATTTTGCATTTTTTTGCATTTTTTGCATTTTCAGCTATAAATGCATTTTTTTTGTTTTTTAACGTCATTTTTCAACATTTTTAAGTCATTTTTTCATCTTTTAGAGCATTTTTTACAAATTATAGATTTTAGGGCAAATGTTACACCCAAGTTTGGAAACAAATTTAATTTATTTAAAATCTAACTTTGGATTTGGACTATTAGTAAAAAATAATTTTAATATTATTATTGTGGGGTTTTTGTTGTGATTACATTTATCGCGTTCCGATAAGATTTACTCTTTGAGTGTTATATATTGAATTATTTAAATGCTTAATATATTTATAATTCATATTTTAAATTACTATTACACCCATTATTATACCCATATCTCTAATAAAAATTATTATTTATAAATAAGTTTTTTCACTTACTTAATTAGTATTTTAGATAATTTTTAAGGTCATTTTTTGAAGTTTTCAGAGCATTTTTGCACTTTTTTTAGGGTTTTTTTGCATTTTTTTTTAGGGCATTTTTGTGTGTTTTTTAGGTCATCAACATCCTAACTCTAGTCATAACTAGATTTAACTCATTTTTCCTTTGGAAATAAATTATATTCATAAATTGCATACCTATTATTTAAAAAAAATACTAGGGAAAAATAATAATTTTAGGTAATAGATAGGTATTTACATTTGGAATGCTTATTTGCGGTTGATTGAAAAGATTACTAAAATAATATATTATTCAAATTATTGATCATACGCAAACTCCTGATGGAGTATCAGCCGAACCAAAACCTAAAATCTATTTTTAAACACCAAATGTAAACAATTTTTCATACACGCGCCGTGGGATCCCGCCTTAATGATAATATGAAAATATAAAATATTCATCATTTGAATTTATACCTATTCGCTATTTTATTTTAAGTAATAAGTAATGTAATAATAACAAATTATTTTTGAACAGCAGCCCAACGGGAAAGTTCCCGGTTTCCCGCCGGCCCAGTCCGCCCCTGAACCTCGATAACTTGAACCTCTATATTCTATAAGTCGAATTCTCGATAGTTAGAAGCAATGGCTTGGCCCCGGCCTTACAATATACAATTACAATATGTGTGATACATTTTCTCGATAATTCGAATTTCTCTATAAGTCGAAATATTTTTAGTCGAATTTTGCCTCATAACTCGAATTCATATAATAATATATGTACATATTAAATTGGAGACGAGATTTTTTCCACGCTAAACGTTATTGAAAACATTACAGATTGGTCAAACAATAAAGAACAATCAAAAATTATCTGATTTTTAAAAAAAATAGTTTTACTTTATTTATAACATTGTATTTTCTTTTTTACATACTACCTACATATTTATTACTTTACTTTTTTTAAAATTGTAATACAATATACATACCTACATGGCTACATACATTTTACATTTATTAGTAAATATGTACATGAATAAATAATATTATAAAATGAAGTACCTACATATTTGTGTTTTCAAATGAAAAAAATGTTTTCGATAACTTGATTTTTTTTGCCGATTCGAGTTATCGAGGTTTCACTGTACATTATTTTGCGTAGAACTTATAATAACCATTTACCTCATTTTTAAGGATCTATATATATTTTTTAACTAATCTAAATATCAGGTTCCTAATCCGAAAATGATAACTTAACTAAAAAATTAAATTTTTGAAACATATTTTATGATTTGCAAAAATTAAAAATTAAATCAGGAAAATTCTGGTTGTCTGCGTGCACTATTAATGTAGGTTAAGTGAACTTTTAAATATTCGTAACATTTCTGCATATTGTATGATTTGTGAAAAAAGTTCAAGAAACTAGTTGTGCTTAAAAATCATAAACAAGTCTAGAAATTATTTATCCGCAACTCACAATAAAACAGTACTAAAAATGGCTACTAAATGATTAAAAAAGTAATGGTATGGTATGAACTATAAATAAGTTTGTTGTTTAATTAGCTTCACACTGATCCAAATAATACTTGGGAAATTATACTGTGCATAGGAAATAATAGTAAACAAAATTAAGAAAAGTATCAAGTCTTTCAAATAATATTTTTGAACTACAATAAAATAACTTACTATAATCGATATATTTTATTAAAATATCTAATCGTTTTCAAAATTTAAATTTGATTTGTCTAAAAAAATGTGTGCATATTAAATTGTCTTGATATTTTGAGGTTGGTATTAGAATAACTTACGAAGAACCTTGTATTATATTTCAAGCTTTTTTCTGACAAACAAAACTGTTATCATAATAAATGATTCAAAAAAATATTTTAAAAAGTGGAACATTTTAAATGTATATAAAAATTAAGAAAAGAAGTGAAATATTTTGAAAATTATCATGATGTTTAGAAATTGTTTAAATAAATATTGGTGAATAATTCAAGTCTTTACTAAAAAACCATCTTCACTCTTCAGAGTTAAAGAATAAGGGATTTTTATCGCTGAAGTTAAAAAAAAATAATAACAAAAATAACACACCTACACATAATTGTAAAATCAATACATTTATTACACCTCTTAAAATCAAAGAGTCACAATTTTTCAATTACTTTAAACTTCAGTAGATACCTTAAAACACATATTTTGAAAAATATTTTTTTAACTTGAAATGGGTAAATACTTGTACAAACTTTTCCAAAATAGATGCACTAGTCAGTTGTTTTTTATGTAACTTTGGTCTTACAATTCAAATTTATGAACAATATATATTAATAGTTAAAACTTAAAAAGGCATTAAAATATCCATTATTTGAATTGATATGTTAATATTGATTAAGAGTATTATTAGTAGGTAGTTTATGAAGTTATGAAAAATTATTTTTATAGCAATAGGTAGATATATAATAAGAATTTTCAATACTGCTATAACATAATACATTTACCACAAAATTAAGTAATGTTGTGTGTGTGTGTATTGGAGGGGGGTCTTGGTACTATAAGATAGATATATGTGTGCAATGGAAGAGTGCATCTGAAATTGTCTAGTCTGACTGGTGAAAAACTGATCACTGCTTATTACAAGTGACTAATTTGAAAGCTTGAATGAATTAATTAAATATTTAAAACATAATATATAATATATCATTGTCACCAATACTTACTAATATGATGTAATGTAACATCTACAAAATATGTAAAGGTCTTGATAAATGTCTCGGCACCTCCAATAAATTGCAACTCACCACCCTCAATTTTTCAAGTGATGACAAAATGTATTATGATTTTTCTGGTACTAACGTGTTGTCTAAGAAATATTTTTTAAACATAATTTTGGATAACTATTACTGTACAAGGAAGCCACTATGAATCGTTAACATGTAGGTATAGTGTTTTTTAAATGTTTATTTTAATTTTACATAAAAATCTTTTAAGTCACCTGA